GTGGTGTGTGTGTGTGTGTGTGTGTGTGTGTGTGTGTGTGTGTGTGTGTGTGTGTGTGTGTGTGTGTGTGTGTGTGTGTGTGTGTGTTTGTGTGTGTGTGTGTTATTTATATGCAGGTACTGTATTTGAAAGTTATTATGCGTGAAAATGGCGTTTCGCTCTGAGCGAAAAGTTGATTCAATAATTCTTCAACTGGAGTCTTTGTCTTCATAAAAGTTGTAGTATATTATCACTTCTGACACTAATACTTGTGATAATAATAGTTAATAATAAAAATAAAAGCACTAGATTTAATTAGTAACCTTGTTTGTCACAATATCAGTGATATAAAGGCCTATAATGAACTTATTAATGAAGTTTCTTGAGAAAATCTTTCAGCAAATAACTTGGAGGATAATATAAACTCATCAACAATTAGAAGTTAAATTTATCAACACATCAACAACTGGAAGTTAAATTCATCAACACACTACCAACCGGACATTAAACTCATCAACAACTCTCATTTCAACTCACCAAGAATGTCGTTACCACGGTCTGGATATCCGTTGATAGTCATGACGTGAGAGTGATCAGCACTCACCACCAGCAGCGTCTCCTCCAGGTCCACCTCCTGCAACGAGTCAAATTCCATAACTGAAGCGACTTTTTCAACCTGTACCGCTCTCCTTTTTCATAGATTCTCATTGTTGTGGTATATTCTTTTTTGATCTCAGAATTCACGCGAGAGGTAAACATGACTGTGAGTGGAGTGTACATGAGCGTACCCACGGGAGTTGTTCTGGTTACCTGCGGTCACTTCCTGAGGTCACCGCTGCCTCATCCCCGCAATTCGGTTGCAGACCAGGCCTCCTGGTTGCTAGCCTGATCGCTGTAGCTGTTGGTGCCCGACACCCATCGTGTACACCACAACCCGGCTGATAGGGAACTGTTTTGAGGAATTTGTCCCACAAATTCTTCGCCTGGAAACCCAGGCTGCTCGTCTGACGCATCTGGATCTGCCGTTACTTGCTTAATCTTAATATGGTCAAAGGATAGCAATGGTTCATCTCTGAAGCAAATGTCTTGCCACAAGCTTCCTTCACTTTCAGTTTACCAGAGCCTTACAATTACGTGTAAATATGACAATAGTCCACAATACCAACAAGTTGATCAATAAGTTACATGTGCAACAGTTAGGTATCATTATTCCGAAACGTTTCGCTTAAACAGTAATACAAAGGAGGCAGTAGAAACAGTAGAGATGAAAAATCGACGTAATCAGTCCATCACTTTCGAAGACACTCTCGAAGATGTAGTTATGAGGTGGTCAGTCCCTCAGCCTCGAGAAGAGTTCTGTTTCATAGTCGCCTTACTATGGACATTCAAGGTCTAAGAGACATTATGTTAATTTACAAATGGTTTACACTATTTCGTGTTCTTGTCGAAAAAAAAAATCAACGTGGTCAGACACAAGCACTTATAACACCTGTGCTTGCAATCGTAATTTTGGTTCACGTCAGATCACGAGGTTGGAACCATTTGTATACTAACAAGTGTGAGGATTGAGACACTTATGCAGCATATGGGAATCTTTATTCAGGAAACGTTTCGCCACACAGTGGCTTCATCAGTCCGATACAAAGTAGAAAGGTGTAAGGAGAGGAGTAGTTTGAGGTAATCAGTCCCTCAGCCTGGAGTCGATGTGTTCAGTCCATCAAGATTTTCCACTGGCTTCATCAAGATTGATGGACTGAACACATCGACTCCAGGCTGAGGGACTGATTACCTCAAACTACTCCTCTCCTTACACCTTTCTACTTTGTATCGGACTGATGAAGGCACCTCAGGGTTATAGATGAGTTACCTGTGCAGTTTATGCAGTAATCCCGCATGGGGCATGCAGCACGGTGGGTAGGGGCTAGTGGAGGCGGAGGTGAGTGCCAGTGGAAAATTAAAATCATAATTCATACAATAGGTTAGTTTCCGTTCATACTACAGGTGGGACTTTCAGCGAAGACGTTTAATATATATATATATATATATATATATATATATATATATATATATATATATATTATATATATATATATATATATATATATATATATATAATATATATATATATATATATATATATATATCGTTATATATATATATATATATATATATATATATATTATATATATATATATATATATATATATATATATATATATATATATATATATAACGATCCTGCGTTTCCATGCAATTACTACTATTACCACCACCACCACTACAACTACTACTACTACTACCACCATTATTACTAATACTACCACTATTACTACCAATACTATTACTACTACTTCTACTACTACTATACTGCCAACACTAGGACTACTACTACCACTACTATTACCACCACCACTACTACTACTACTACTACCATTACTACTACTACTTCTACAACTGCTAATTTTATTGCTACTCCGGAGGAGGATGGGGGCAGGGGTTCACAGTCTATAAAAAACACTACAGAATCCTAGGTACTAGGACACACCAGAGCACTGCTTACTCACGATGCATTACTCTAACAGAGTAAAGATCAAACCAGCGAGTGGCACAACCAATGAGTCGTCCAAACTAGCACTTGCAGCTGTCGTTAGTGGCAGGCTGCAAGTCAAATGTAATGCGATTTTATAGCTCAAGGAGGCCTCTGTTGTCTGTACAGACGACACAGAGGCTGAGAAACTATTTACCACTACTGCTACTACCACTCTACGAGACCAGGGATTTCTTGTCTTGACTTCCCCAGCACTGAGGGCCAGGAGAACTGTGTTCCTCAAGCGACTCGACAACCTTATCACTGTACAGGCCACTGAAGAAATCAAGTCATCTATCGAAGCAAAGAACCCTTGGGCCAAGGTGGACTTCATTACTAAAATACCCAATGCTTCATCCATGCTGAAGGTCACCTTCAGTGACGTCAACATGGCAGCCAGAGCTCTCGCTGAGGGCCTGGCTATTCACTACTTCCACATCAACCCAGCCTTCATCGAAGCAGAGAAATTCCAACATATCTCACAGTGCTATAATTGTTACTCATACTTACACACCACAAATGATTGTCCTACCAAGGACAAGAAGTTCTGCTCCACCTGTGGCCGTGAGGGTCATGACTTCAAGAATTGCACTACTGCTTCACCACCTAAATGCTTGAACTGCAAGAATGACCACCATACTCTTGCTGCCAGGTGCCCTACCAGAAGAGACATACTCAAGAAACAACAACAACAAAAGAAACCCAACCCACAAGCAACCACATATTCTGCTATCGCCAAGCTTCAAGCAGACACTACCAAGATACTACAAGCCACGCAAGCTGCTCCACCACTTCCCTGCCAGCACCTACTGCCGACCTCCACCAAGATTCTTTGTTGCATTATGTATGCTCATGTACAGAATGCAGCTGAGCCTGGTTCCTTCAACACCACCATCAATGAACTTTTCAAACTAAATAATATGCCTGGCCTCACATTCCCTGCATCACCACCTTCCACTGAGATCCTAAAATCTACTGCAAATATTACCAGCATCACCGCTGCTCCACCGCTGTCACAACCTCCACTAGACACAGAGATGGATCAATCAGAGACCACTGAGACGTCGGCAAAACCCACCAATGAGAGTCCACTACCGCTTGCATCCACTGCTAGAGCAACTGACCAGTCGGAAATCTCGCCTTCACCAGTTCAGCCACCAGCCAAGAAAGCAAAAACACAAGAAACTGCGGATGCACCTCACGGTGCCACTGACACTGCTGCACCACAACAAGTCCGATATCTGAAGGGTGTATACTTCTACACAACCAAGCAGTATAAGAACACAATGCTGTCTTCAGAAATCCATCAGCACCTCCAGGACGGAACAGTCAAGTATACCTACGACCAAACTGTTACATACACCACTGCAGACATGACCAGACTACTCACTGCCAACATCCAACACCTTGTGGAAGTCGAGTACACCTCAAAGAGGAAATTCAGGATGCTTCAGAATGAGGACCTTGAAGACGGTACCCTCGTCTAGCACGACTATCCATGACCATTCACCATGAAGATAAGTTTACCCAGCACTTTGCTGTCTGCTAAAGCTGGGGTGTAGCTCCAATCGACCCTGTAACTGCTGCCTCTGCCCGACTGCACTTCTCTTTGGGGAAGTCAGTGCAAGATAGAAGAAGACAACACCCTCCAACCGGAGGGCCAAGAAAGAAGAAAGATGATGATCGTCACTCCCCCCCCCACCCGGGGAGCAACTGCCGGGTCACCATCTGGAGAAGACCCGGGCCGGAAGTACCAGCGAATCAACATGAATGAAAATGAACACCAACACACGACACTCCACACAGGAGAGCACAGCGCTAGCACGATCGACACCATGCGTTGCCCTTCTAGGGCAGGGTTGGTGCCAGAGCCCGAGTTTGTAGCTCACAAGATGAGGGGGGTACTTGTGCCTCCTCCCATGGAAGACTTAGGTCTCAGACACTCCCTAGACAGGGAGCCAGTGCCGGGCCACCACTTGGAAGGGCCCGGGCCGGGAGAATACCGGCGAATCTTTAACAACAACAACCTAGGTACTGTACTGACAATAACTACAGCAGACTGACAAGTGTAGCCTGAAACTTACCCTGAGAGCGGCAGCCACAGCAGCATCCATAGCAACTATCTCCTCCATGGCTCGATGTGGAATGTTGTCGTGGAGGGCGTGGTCAATCCTCCCTCCTTCAACCTGTTGGCAAAAATTTAACGAGATTATCCCGTCTCGCTATTGGCTACTTCCTGCGCTCAATGATCCACACAGGTTCGGTGCTTCACCTAAACGTAATAATAATTTGTAATGGACGCGGCCGCAGTGTACAAAAACACGAGACTTGCACGAAGACACAACTGCTCAAGATGGAGATTAAAGTCAAGCCTATTAGAGTAAATTATAGTGACACTTCCACTTTCTTGCTCCTCAGTAAAGTTGTTTACCTCTGGAGGAAACTCATAAAGGGCAATAACTCTCTCCCCAACTTTTCACTCAGAAGTTAACGAAAAAGAAAACCTCGGGGAAAGAACTTTCTCCTAAAATTTTCCAACTCAGAAGTTAGGGAAAGAAACATCTTACGAATGTTTTTTTTTAACTTGTGTTTGAAGCAATAGTTTGTGGAGATGTGAAATGTGCTTAGATTTTTATGAAGACTAACCGAGGGTTGCTGCAGAAAAGAAAGATAAGAAGATTGAATATACTGGAAAATTACCTCCCTTGCTGATAAATTAGACACATGTGCAACTCTTGGGTATCTTTATTGAGGAAACGTTTCGCCACACAGTGGCTTCATCAGTCCATACGTAGGAGAAACTTGAAGAACAGGAGGAGAATGAGGTAATCAGTCCCTCAACCTTGAGTCGATGTGTTCAGTCCATCAATCTTGAATAGAATACGGCAGATGAGCGGAGAAGCAGCTTATAAACCGTATGGCAGGAGAGGTGCAGCAGTCATAGGTCGTGTCACATTTGTTCAATGTGGAAGTAGGTCGTGCCCAAGAATTAGGCAAGCGAAGAATTCCTGATGATGCTGAGGAAGATAATTGATCATAAACGATGTGATTCTTTATATATGTGATGGGAAGTATTGTTGTATATCATGTAATGATAAACCATTTTCAGTCTTCCAGCACAATTAATACTAGAGGAAAGCGCCTCGTTACCTGGTCTCTGACCAGTCTGGCTGAGGAAGGCGTCTCCTTACCTGGTCTCTGACCAGTCAGGCTGAGGAAGGCACCTCCTTACCTGGTCTCTGACCAGTCTGGCTGAGGAAGGCACCTCCTTACCTGGTCTCTGACCAGTCTGGCTGAGGAAGGCGTCTCCTTACCTGGTCTCTGACCAGTCAGGCTGAGGAAGGCACCTCCTTACCTGGTCTCTGACCAGTCTGGCTGAGGAAGGCACCTCCTTACCTGGTCTCTGACCAGTCTGGCTGAGGAATTACACATATCTGCAACATCTGGGTATCTTTATTTGTAGACGTTCGCCATCCAGTGGCTTAATCAATACAATACAAGGACATAATGTGAAGAATGTAGAATTATAATCACATTATGTCCTTTTATTGTATTGATAAAGCCACTGTGGGCGAAACATCTGGGTAAGATATTGCACATGTGTCTAAATCTCCATCTAGTCGGTATTATATAACATTCATATACAACCAGTCTGGCTGTTGGTGACCCCCCTCTGCATGGGGGAAAACCACAATTGAATATCCGTAACAAGTTGGTCTGTGTTCTCCTGTCCTCAGAACAAACTTGAAATTTCACCAACTAATGGTCGTCTCATCAATAAAATCTCCAGCAGAATAAACAGAATCGTCATCAATTTATCATAATAAGTATATTTCAGGAAAGACACATAAGCAACAGTTAGCCTAACTATCATTTATGTCTTACCAACCTGTCGGTATTGTATACCATTTTGTTATTCAGATATATTTCAGAAACAATCTTAACCCGGAAGGCTGAACATTAACCAAAGTTATGAAGGAAGTTCTTCATGGATAACAACCTTGAGATTTGTAAATTATTAGCACAAATTAATATATTTTAAGGAATTTACAAAATACGAAAGGAAATTAAAAGACATTTCGCTCCGTCATGGATCATCATCAACTGGCCAAATGTCGTCAATTTTTCACTTTCCATTTTCGAGCAATTTGTGATCTGTTTGAGTTATGTTTTCCCGAGTTATTCTAGAGTAATCAATTGTGTAATAAAAAGCTTTTTAGTATAATTACCAACAATATGTTAGCTAAAAAGGACACAAGTGTAACTAATGCGACGTTTCGCTCTCCAGGAACTTTGTCAAGCCGTAAATGCTTGACAAAGCGAAACGTTGCAACAATAAAATGTTGCATTAGTTGCGCAAATTTTACTAAGAGACTGGAAACGCTGCCCTCGAGTACCCACCAGGAGGAAGAAGCCCTTCTCACTCTTCTTCAGGAACCTGAGGGCCTTGATGGTCATATCCCTGAGGGAGGGGGACCCTGAAGACCCAACCAACCGGTCCACTTCGTAGGGCATGTGGGAGTCATCGAACAGTCCTGTGGAGGAACAGCTAGTTAGGAGACTGAGATGAGAGAGTGTTCCAAGTTTTAAGCACTAAGTTCTTGTGGTGGAGATAAATGGTACAAAATACCGACACGACGGAAAAATACACGCAAATGCAGTATAATGCGATGCTTTATTGACAACGTTTCGCCCACACAGATCTACCTGGGTGAAGAGCATATGAGTATTTATGGGATGGAGAATCAGGTAGAGAATGTTCATGTACCCTTCACCCAGGTAGATCTGTTTGTGACCTAATAAAGCCCACTGTGTGGGCGAAACGTTGTCAATAAATGATCGGAATATACCGCTTTTGTGTTTATTTTTAATTTTTCCAAGTTCTTGTGGTATAAACCTTGGTAATAAATGCTGGCAAACTAGTTTAGAGAGACACTTGAACAAACACTAGGACATATTTATTAGAAAACGTTTCGGTCCCGGCACTTTGATCACTTCTAACATACACTGAATAAAAAACATTAGCATACACGATCCTCAAGCACCACCTGACCTAACAACACAGAAGTCACATGATCTCATTGTCTTCCCGTCCTCATCCCAACATGGCATTCTTCAGGTCACCATGCGTCACTCACATCTCATTATCCACCTATATATACTGTCTTTTTAACCTCTGTAAGAAGTGATCAAGGTCCCAGGACCGAAACGTTTTCTAGTTAATATGTCCTAGTGTTTGTTTACGTGTATCTCTAAACCACTAAGCTCCTGTCTCTAGGCTGCGTCCATCTCCGAACTTGCACTTGTGTTGAGAATAAGTGGTTTAGAAATCCAACAATTTGATATATAAGACACTTGTGCAACACTGGCTAAATGTTTCCATAATAAAGATACACAGATCCTGCACAAGTGTCTCGTTTATCAACTTGAGTTAAGGCCGCCATGGACAACATGTTCGCTCAGTAAGGAAATAACAACAAACTCAACCCCGTTCATCCGTTCATGTGCTCTGGGAATATTCTCTTGAGAACAGGTGTTGTAACGTTCTGTGACGGTGTTATCGTGCTGAACCTGGCACGTGTTGTACATTAAATGGTATACAACTGGTCTGAGACGGGTTATGTGTGAATCTGTCGTTGTTTAATATTTTGTGTTGGTATTCTTGTGTTCTTGGAAGATTTTGTAGTTCATCATTGTTATGTACAGACCGACTTAAATGATTCAATTTTTTTATAAGAATTTAACATATGAACATGAACAGGAGAAGTTCTGCGGTAGCTCTGCTGGCCCGTGCTGGGTAGGTTCTTCTCAGTTCTGCTGGCCCATGCTGGGTAGGTCCTTCTCAGTTCTGCTGGCCCGTGCTGGATATTTCCTCAGTTCTGCTGGCCCGTGCTGGGTAGGTTCTTCTCAGTTCTTTTGGCCCGTGCTGGGTAGGTCCTTCGTCTATATATATTGTCTTTTTAACCTTTGTATGTTAGAAGTGATGAAGGTCTCAAGACCGAAAATTTTTCTAATAAATATGCCCTAGTGTTTGCACATGTGTCTTTCTAACGCGAGGTCCTTCACAAACCCAGACCTCTTCACCCAAACATTTGTCAAGCCTAATGTGTTACCTTGGATGACTCTACTTGAATACTCATGGGGAATGAGCTAAACCCGTAAGGGTCATATACAGCGTTTAGATAATAGGAGGTAGCCAAGTCTCATCCAAGGAAGGGGAGCAAGAGACCTCCACCAGCATCTCAAGACAAGAGGGACGTATGTCCCCTCAAGGTCTATGTACACAGCCTAGCAAGTGTTGCGATCTCAGATGTATTGTTGACGACAGAACATTGTGGTGCTGATGTCTGCAGTGTAGCCTTATGCTGACCTTTATTGCCGGGGTTGTCAGTCCGTCAGCCTTGGTGGTGGTCGTCAGTCCGTCAGCCTTGGTGGTGGTTGTCAGTCCGTCAGCCTTGGTGGTGGTTGTCAGTCCGTCAGCCTTGGTGGTGGTTGTCAGTCCGTCAGCCTTGGTGGTGGTTGTCAGTCCGTCAGCCTTGGTGGTGGTCAGACCCTCAAGCCTTGGACACATAGTTATGGACAGCTGCTTGAACAAGTCGAGTAGAATGTGTTTCGCATTGCTTACGTCTTTGTTTAAATCCACCACAACAGCGGTGAAACCCCAGCAAGTGGGAAACTACCCCTTGGATCTCTAGCAAGTGGGGAACTACCCCTTGGATCTCTAGCAAGTGGGGAACTACCCCTTGGATCCCCAGCAAGTGGGGAACTACCCCTTGGATCTCTAGCAAGTGGGGAACTACCCCTTGGATCTCTAGCAAGTGGGGAACTACCCCTTGGATCCCTAGCAAGTGGGGAACTACCCCTTGGATCTCTAGCAGGTGGGGAACTACCCCTTGGATCCCTAGCAAGCGGAGAACTACCTCTTGGAACCCCAGTAAGTGTGGAACTACCTGTAATAATGTTGGTAGAATTACCGAACACAAATACAACTAATGCGACATTTTACTGTGGCATTAGCTGCACTTGTATCCTTTTACATTATACAAGGAACTAATTCTTGAAATTTACCGAGGAGATAGTCGGTATCATGAGCGCGAACTTTCTCCATCTCGCCAAGAGTTGTGACGTAGCGAGCTGAGTGACCTCTGGAGAGCTTGTCGTTGAGCCACTCCCTCGTCAGGTTGCGACCGTCCTTCCGAAAGCAGGTGGAGTTGAGGGACGCGCCGCGGCTTGCGCCCAGCGCCTGGCGTCCGCCACCCAGGATTACCTACACACAGAAAAATTAGCCTCATTATTCCTGGCGCTGCTGTAATGGTCACCGAGGAAAGCAGAGTGGAAGGAGAGGGAAGACAAGAGCATTATCGCTTCTACCAAGGTTCTATTGGTTAAAAAGATAAATTTTATGTTGGTTGGTTAATGGGGTTTAAAACCTGTCGCCTACATTAACCTTTTCACGACTAGAAAAGAATATACGTAATATTGTATTTATATATTTATTTCTTAGTTCATTTAATTTTAGATTTATGCATTAGAAGAAACATGAGTTTAATGTCAACAGTCTCATAACCTCGTGGCTCATTTATGAAGCTCAGGGGAGACAGAAATTGATGCTTGATCCAGAGTTCACTTTCATCTTACTTTGATGTTCTTGCCAGGAAGGTCTGTCACCAGCTGGTCTGCGATGTCTTTACAACCGGCTCCCTCTTCTCCTAGAGCGCTATCACACTCCCAGTCACGATGGGCTGTGTGGGCGTATGCGGCCGCGGGCGTGGCGTGAGTAATTCTGGTGTTTGTCACAATACCTGTCAGTGGTAAATAGTAAAATTAGAAAAATCATTTCTGTTTAATCTAACACATTAATTTATATAAACAAATTTCTCATCTGAGTTTAATGGCAAGCTATGTTCTTAGACGTCTGTTTGGCTTGGCAATGGGTAGCCCTGTCTCCCCAGTACTTTGTAACCTATAGATGAATTAGACACATGTGCAGCAATTGGGTATCTATACTGTGGAGACGTTTCGCTAACCAGTGACTTTACCAGTCCAATATAGAGAATAATGCTGCAGATGGTGAAAGATAGGAAGACGTAGTTTGAGGTTATTAGTCCCTCAGCCTCCAGAAATCTCCACAATATTGTTACCCAAGTTTTGAACAAGTGTCTTATTAATATACTTTTAATTTTGTAAATGCATCACCATCATCATCGTCATCAGGCCAGACAACTTTACTCAACTTGAAAAATTCATTCAGAATCTCATAATCTTGTTCTGAATACACATACCTTAAAAATTTAATGCTAAAGCGCAGAGCACTTTTAGCTTAAGTGTTTCAGAAGGCTACATATTAAACACCTTAAAACCCGGACACAGTGATAATGATTCTGCATCTAACTTCAATGATTTTTGGATTTAGATGTTGCCACCACACAGAAATCACTCCCTACGAAAGTAAAAGACTGGGCAGGCGATGCAAAATGCCCCCAATAAAAAGTAGGGCGCCATTGGTACACTAAGAGAAAACACCATAAGTGTCCGGGGCCCAAAACTGTTCAACAGCCTCCCATCAAGCATTAGGGGAATTGCCAATAAACCCCTGGCTGCCTTCAAGAGAGAGCTGGACAGATACCTAAAGTCAGTGCCGGATCAGCCGGGCTGTGGCTCGTACGTTGGACTGCGTGCGGCCAGCAGTAACAGCCTAGTTGATCAGGCCCTGATCCATCGGGAGGCCTGGTCATGGACCGGGCCGCGGGGGCATTGATCCCGGAATAACTCCAGTAACCTCCAGGTAACCGAAGTGGCTAGTTATTGTGCACCTCATATTGACACTAACTTACTCACTCTGAAATAATATTAATACTTCACCTAATTTTTTATGTGAGTTTAATTTTCTGTTTACATTTAATATTGCTGTTTACCTTGGAAAGTAACTTGTTGATTCACCACCCACATGTTACGTCATCTCCTTACCGCTTTGTTTACCGAATTTTTTTTTAATTTCTCATGTAATGCTAATTTGTCATTGTATTTTGTGTATACTTGACATGTGTACAACACTTGGGTGTTGTTATCAAGACTGATAGACTAATTATATTGAGTCCAGGCTGAGGGACTGATGACCTCAGTCTCCTTCTGATCTTCACTATTCTTCTTTGTATTGGACTGATGAAGCCACTGTGTGGCGAAACGTTTCCTCATTAAAGATACCCAAGGGGTTGTACATGTGTCTAATTTATCAACTTGTTGGTTCTCTGAACCATCCATATACATTGTGTATACTATGAATGTATATTATCATGACATGTTCCTGATGATGATGATGGTGGATTTATCAGCGAAACATTGATTTACCCAACAATAAAAAATCTTATGGTGATATGTTAATCTTTCGCACCTGCCAATATTATATATATATATATATATATATATAATATATATATATATATATATATATATATATATATATATAATATATATATATATATATAAATATTATATATATATATATGTGTTGTAGTGTGTGTGTGTGTGTGTGTGTGTGTGTGTGTGTGTGTGTGTGTGTGTGTTCCAGGTTGAGGGACTGATTACCTCAAACTTCTACTCTCCTTACCCATTTCTACTTTGTATTGGGCTGATGAAGCCCCCTGTGTGGCGAAAAAGTTTCTTCAATAAAGATTCCCATGTGTTGCATAAGTGTCTCAATTCTTCAACATATATATATATATATATATATATATATATATATATATATAAAATATATATATATATATATATATATATTATATATATATATAAAAATATTTTTTATATGTTGATGTATGTCGTGCCAAATAGGTAAAACTGGTCAATTAGTAAGAACTCATTTAAAATTAAGTCCTTTCTAAAAAAATTCTCATCTTTAAGATATTTTTTTTCATTTATGTTAATGTAAAAATTAATAATTTTGTACGAAAAGAACCTTAGAAAGCTTACCTAACTTAAGCTTACCTAACTTAAGCTTACCTAACTAAATATATTTTAGATAAGTTTACAATAATTTAATAAACAAACACAGTGAAATATATTCTTTTCGCTAGGTTCAGAATGATTTTTGCGAAATATTTCATACAGAAATTTTAGCTTGCCTTATTCAGCAAGAAGAGTGTTACTATTTAAGCGAAAATCGCAAGTTGTACCTGTTCGGCACGACATATACATATACATAATATATATATATATATATATATATATATATATATATATACATTGTCTCTATGTCTACAGCAGGACTCGAACCTGCAACTCTGTATTAGAATCCACAGAACTTTACCACGGAGCCACACCATCACCAGGTGGCCTGGCTCCGTGGAAAAGTACTGTGGATTCTGATACAGAGTTTTCAGGTTCGAGTCCTGCTGTGGACGTAGAGACAATATATATATATATATAAAATATAATATATATATATATATATATATATATATATTTTATATATTTTAAATATTATATATATATTATGATATATATATTAAAATATATAATATATTAAATATATATATAAATATATTATAATATATATTATAATATATTAATATAAAATATATATATGCAATAAGATCACAGTAAACAGGTGATTTTCGGAATATGCAAAAAAAACCACCTGAAAAAATAAGAAATTCCAAGCGCTTTCGGACTACTCACATTATCAAGGAACTATGAAAGTAAAGCATCCAAGGAAGCTATATAGGGGTCTGGCCAGCACCCCCACTATCAATCCCACAACGGTTAAACACCTGACGCGCGCCGACCCAACTTGGATAGGTCCTTTGCACAACTCACCTCACAAACTATTCTACCCAAAGAAAATTTAAAAAATTATTTGTCCAGTGTATTATAAATTTTTCCCCAAAATTCTTTTAATTATAAATGGATCAAATTTTTATATAAACCAAAGGAAATATTCATTTATTGTCAAAACCTGCTTTTTATAAAACCCAAGATTCAATTATATTCCTGTCGACCATGGACTTGCTTGATACTACTTTCTCAACTTTTTGAAAATAAATTGGATGGTTAAAATCCCCTTACATAAATTTAAATAGAGCATTGGAACCTTGTCCGTTCTAATGCTAAAATTTTTTTGTTTTAATCTTATTCGAGATTTTTACCAGTTTGACCGTAATAAACTTTATCGCAAATTTTACAAGGAATCTTATAGACACATCCATCAGCATTTTGGGGGGAATTCTTTATCAAAAGTTTTTTTTACTGTATCAAGATTTTTTTTTTTTTTTTTATTCAAAAATCTTGATACAGTAAAAAAAAATTTTGATAAAAAATTCCCCCCAAAATGCTGATGGATGTGTCTATAAGATTCCTTGTAAAATTTGCGATAAAGTTTATTACGGTCAAACTGGTAAAAATCTCGAACTAAGATTAAAACATCATAAATATAGCATTAGAACTGGACAAGATTCCAATGCTCTATTTATTCATGTAAGAGATTTTAACCATCCAATTGATTTTCAAAAAGTTGAGAAAGTAGTATCAAGCAAGTCCATGGTCGACAGGAATATAATTGAATCTTGTTTCATAAAAAGCAGTTTTGACAATAATATGAATATTTCCTTTGGTTTATATAAATTAGATCCATTTATAATTAATAGAATTTGGGAAGAATTTAATAATACACTGGACAAATAATTTTTTAAATTTTCTTGGGTAGAATAGTTTGTGAGGTGAGTTGTGCAAAGGACCTATCCAAGTTGGGTCGGCGCGCGTCAGGTGTTTAACCGTTGTGGGATCTGATAGTGAGGTGCTGGCCTGACCCCTTATATAGCTTCCTTGGATGCTTTACTTTCATAGTTCCTTGATAATGTGAGTAGTCACGAAAGCGCTTTGGAATTTCTTATTTTTTCAGAGTGGTTGTTTTGCATATATATATATATATATATATATATATATATATATATAATATATATATAAATATATATATATATATATATATATATATATATATATATATATATATATATATACTGGCATACAGAAATTTTGAAAAATTATGCTAAACTGATCACATAAAATTAAATAATATATAATGAGATCTGTGGTACTGTGGCACTAACGAGGCTGGTTTTTTCCTGAAGACCTACACAATACCAGTCACACCACCAGCTGTAACCTTACTACTAAAAAACGGTTTCCTGAGTGCACCGGTTTGTGGTGCACTCAGCGAGGCGCCCTCAACTGTAGACTGTTGTCAGGCTAATCCTCCTTGGTTACAGAGGTGATTCCGCTCACCTGTATCCTTGCCCGCCTCCTGCGCCCAGTGGAGGATCGAGGTCACCCGAAAGGCAGGATTCTTACTGGCGGAACAGTTGCCTTTGGTTACGCTTTGGTCTACCCCCAGCGTGTAGAAGTTACCCTTCACCCCGCATAGGAAGGCGGTGGCTGTGGCAGCACTGTCCGGCACCTGCTTGTCTACGTTGTAAGTCTGCCAAGGAGAGAAACACTTGGTTACACACATATACACATACAAGCAACCGGAGCTCGGTTATTAACGCACTCAGCTCACACACTGAGGACCATGGTTCGATTCCGGGTGCGGGTGGAAGCATTAGGGTGTGTTTCCTTAAGACAACTGCTGTCCCTATTTATCTAGCACTAAGTAGGTACCTGGGTGTTAGCTGACTGGCGTGGGTTGCACACTGTGGACAAAATAAACCCAAGTTGTCCGTAATGCTCTGCATAAAAAGGGGCTTTCTATATATGTCATTAATGTCAGCTAATGAGGCCTGGTCACAGACCGGGCCGCGGGGGCATTGACCCCCGAAACTCTTTCCAGGTATGGTCTGTATACTTTGCACAGGTTATTGTAGAAATAAAAATTTATTATTATTATTATTATTATTATTATTATTATTATTATTATTATTATTATTATTATTATTATTTATATTAAAAAACAGGCTAAAGGGAGGAGCAATTAGGAGCAGAAAAAAGCATACAGCGAATTAATATAGAGAATCAGCGCGATAAGCAGCAGGGATAGAAACAACAGAAAAATAAGAAGAGAGGTTGAAAGACAATGTGAAAATGGCATCGCATCAAAAGCCAAAACTGAGCCAAAGTTACTCCACAGCCACATAAGAAAAATACAACTGAGAAGGAAGAAGAGAAGGCTGGGGAAGGAGGAAGGGATGTTGACGGAGAATTACAGAAGCATGGGAAGTGCTTAGCAAAAGATTCCAAGAAGCCTTCATAGAGGAAAGAACTTCCAGATGGCACTGTAATCAGAACAGGACTGGTAAGTCAGCGGAAGGCTTCTGTCATATGACCAAAAGCTCCAGTAGCGGGTCATCATATGACTAAAACTCGCGTCAGGAAACGCTTGTCCTGTTTCCTGACAAACATTACATAGTTCCACACAGGTACTGGACAGTACACAACAACGCAGGAAAGAGGTAACGGGATTACTACTCGTACATGAGCTGGATGTAACAAAAGCAATGGGACCAGATATTTCTCCACAGGTGCTGAGCGAAGGGGCAAAACATCTATGTGACCCAACAGTAAGGGTATTCAACCATTCTCGCAAATTACGACACCTGTTAGAAAATTGGAAAACGGCAAAAATGGTCCCTTGTTCTATCTAGGCTGGAATATTGCTGCACACTAACAGCACCTTTCAAGGCAGGTGAAATTGCTGACCTAGAAAATGTACAGAGAACCTTCACGGCGCGCATAACGGAGATAAAACACCTCAATTACTGGGAGCGCTTAAAGTTCCTGAACCTGTACTCCCTGGAACGCAGGCGGGAGAGATACATGATTATATACACCTGGAAAAATCCTAGAGGGACTAGTACCGAACTTGCACACGAAAATTACTCACAGCGAAAGCAAAAGACTTGGCAGACGATGCAACATCCGCCCAATGAAAAGCAGGGGTGTCACTAGCACGTCAAGAGACAATACAATAAGTGTCAGGGGCCCGAGACTGTTCAACTGCCTCCCAGCATACATAAGGGGGATTACCAACAGACCCCTGGCAGTCTTCAAGCTGGCACTGGACAAGCACCTAAAGTCGGTACCTGACCAGCCGGGCTGTGGCTCGTACGTTGGATTGTGTGCAGCCAGCAGTAACAGCCTGGTTGATCAGGCTCTGATCCACCAGGAGGCCTGGTCACAGACCTGGCCGCGGGGGCGTTGACCCCCGGAACTCTCTCTAGGTAAACTCCAGACATAGAAGCTGCTTTGAATTATAGATCAGTATCTCTTACATGTATACTGTCAAATGTTCTGGAGAAGATAGCAAGGAGAAGGATATTAGGACACTTGGAGAGAAGAAAATTCCTTACAGAAAACTAGCATGGATTTAAGGATGGAAAAATTCTGTATTATCAGTCTGCTGGAATTCTACGATAAATCAGAGATAAAACAACAGAAAACAGTATTGGAATAAACTGTATTTTCTTGGACTGTATAAAAGCATTTGATACAGTACCATATCAAAGATTAGTCCAAAAATTAGAAGAACCAACAAGGTTTGAAGGCAGAGTGCTCCAGTGGATCAAGGAGTTCTTAAATAATAGAAGGCAGAGATTATATGAGATGAGACATCCAAACAGAGGAGTGGAGTTCCACAGGATTTAGTGTTAGGACTCCTACTGTTCCTAACATGTGTGACTTACTGGAGTAGGTGAATCCTGTGTGTCACTGTTTTCTGATGATGTAAATATAATAAGAAGAATAAGAAGAGGAGAGGACGTGATAAACTCCAGAGAGACCTCGACAGACTGAGGACGAAGTCAAAAAACTCGCTTCTTGAATTTTCAACACAAACAAATTCAAGGACATGCGTTTTGGAGAAGGTGATGGCAGACCGGGCACTGAGTGCAGCATGGATGGAGAAAAGCTGCAAATATCACAGTGAAAAGGACCTTGAAAGAATATAACATAAGCATAGCACCGAACTACACATAAACTGTGTAACGTCAGCGGCATATGTAAGATTAACAGTCCTCAGAATAGCATCCTGGAACCTCCCACTAGTGACGAAAATATGGAAACCAAACTAACTTGAAAGATTTATGCCTTGTATGAAGGTCTCTTTAGATGTGAAGGAACTGGTATGGACGAGTGTATGAGGTGATGTGATCTGAACGATTCTTCGGTAAAGAATTATTCAGATTAGGAGGAATGTAGTATGAAAAGAGGACATAGGAAGAGAACCTGACGACTTGAGAGGAAAGGACGAAGGGGGGGGATATGATTTATAGATACAAAGTTTTTAAAAGCAATTGACAGTGTAGACAAAGAGGTCTGTCAGCGCGAAGATTGGCTGAGGCTCGATCCTCCCGTCAGCTAACTAGAAAACAGATTCTAACTTTACTCAGTTCTTTCTGGCTTGTACGAGGCTACAACCGCAAAAGAGTCTTTAAGTGAGAAAAATATACATAAAACATTTCTTTGTGGAATCGAATCTCAATGTGTCCCTTAAAAACTTCAATATGTCAGGAGAACAATTTGATTTCAACAAAATTATCTGTACATAAGTCAATGGGTCATTCAGCGTTAGGACTGGTGTAGGCTCTATCCTTCATCCACTAGTCACAGCCCCGGTCTCTTCCCTAACTAGCCAGGCTATTGCACCGGCCGTGAGTCAGTAATTACCCTGTAATTATCCTGGCCTTCATAAAGGTCACAACACACCTCAGACACTCGTCCAAACCGGTTCCTTCACATCTACACAGACCTTCATACAACGAAAAAATCATTCTAGTTAGAATTTATTTTTCCTATTAGTATTGTCACTAAGGAGGTTTTCAAACAGTGAAGTGCCAGGTGTTATTCAGTGAAGTGCCAGGCGTCATTCAGTGAAGTGCCAGGTGCCAAGAAATTAAAACTTGATCAAAGTACAAAACAAATTCCAGCCACAAAATAGAGCGAAAAACTAACGTCAAAGACCTGGGAGTGATCATGTCGGAGGATCTCACCTTCAAGGACCATAACATTGTATCAATCGCATCTGCTAGAAATATGACAGGATGTATAATGAGAACCTTCAAAACTAGGGATGCCAAGCCCATGATGACACTCTTCAGGTCGTTTGTTCTATCTAGGCTGGAATATTGCTGCACACTAACAGCACCTTTCAAGGCTGGTGAAATTGCTGACCTAGAAAATGTACAGAGAACCTTCACGGCGCGCATAACGGAGATAAAACACCTCAATTACTGGGAGCGCTTGAGGTTCCTAAACCTGTATTCCCTGGAACGCAGGTGGGAGAGATACATGATTATATACCCCTGGGAAATCCTAGAGGGACTAGTACCGAACTTGCACACGAAAATCACTCACAACGAAAGCAAAAGACTTGGCAGACGATGCAACATCCCCCCAATGAAAAGCAGGGGTATCACTAGCACGTTAAGAGACAATACAATAAGTGTCAGGGGCCCGAGACTGTTCAACTGCCTCCCAGCATACATAAGGGGGATTACCAATAGACCCCTGGCAATCTTCAAGCTGGCACTGGACAAGCACCTAAAGTCGGTACCTGACCAGCTGAGCTGTGGCTCGTACGTTGGATTGCGTGCAGCCAGCAGTAACAGCCTGAACATTAAAATGGTATAAAATACCGACAGGTTGTTAGGTAAGACACATATGCAACAGTTAGGTATCTTTATTTCGAAACGTTTCGCCTACACAGTAGGCTTCTTCAGTCGAGTACAGAAAAGTTGATAGAAGCAGAAGATACTTGAAGACGATGTAATCAGTCCATCACCCTTAAAGTTTTGAGGTGGTCAGTCCCTCAGTCTGGAGAAGAGCATTGTTCCATGGTATGAAACAATATGGAGATGAAGTGACAGGATGGAGCCTTATATAGCGCCAAGAGGTGAGACATAGGTCACTAGAAGAGGTAAGAACTCAGATGCTGGGAGGTCAGGTCCCTCTCAAATCCAGCCGTTCTCACTAGTAGAGGTTGTCGAAGTTGATTGTAGGTCTGTACCAAGATACCCTTGTGTTGCAGTGTCTGACAGATTGAACATTAAAATGGTATAAAATACCGACAGGTTGTTAGGTAAGACACATATGCAACAGTTAGGTATCTTTATTTCGAAACGTTTCGCCTACACAGTAGGCTTCTTCAGCCTCTACTAGTGAGAACGGCTGGATTTGAGAGGGACCTGACCTCCCAACATCTGAGTTCTTACCTCTTCTAGTGACCTACGTCTCACCTCTTGGCGCTATATAAGGCTCCATCCTGTCACTTCATCTCCATATTGTTTCAGACCTTGGAACAATGCTCTTCTCCAGACTGAGGGACTGACCACCTCAAAACTTTAAGGGTGATGGACTGATTACATCGTCTTCAAGTATCTTCTGCTTCTATCAACTTTTCTGTACTCGACTGAAGAAGCCTACTGTGTAGGCGAAACGTTTCGAAATAAAGATACCTAACTGTTGCATATGTGTCTTACCTAACAACAGTAACAGCCTGGTTGATCAGGCTCTGATCCACCATGAGGCCTGGTCACAGACCGGGCCGCGAGGGCGTTGACCCCCGGAACTCTCTCCAGGTAAACTCCAGGCGTCATTCAGTGAAGTGCCAGAGGCCAGTTTACCAAATGCAACACCAATTTGTGTTCATCATCGTGCCAGCTGTTACTTTATGTAAACTTTTCTAGCAGTTTACTAAACGTACCAGTAGTACACACAAAATAACCACCCAGCACTGAGTTTACCAAAAGTACAAATTCTAGTGCATTGTGATGTAGTTCAGCTGGGCTTTAGCTCTGGGGAGACCAAAATTTAACAAATTTATGGCCACCCCTGCCTTGGCAATGTCGGGGAGCCACCCCCACGCTGAGGTCTTTTGTTTTTACGCGTCAGACCTAGCTAGGTTACACGTGGTTGTGGGGGGTGCTCTGGGGGACAATATAGCCCAAAGGAACATAAGTGGGAATTCCTGGGGAGCTCTGGCCTGGGTGCGAGTCCGAGCAGAGACTTCGAGCGGAGTGCTGCTGGGGTGCAGGGCTGGGAAAAGGCTGCTGAAGTCTCTGGGGGAGACTGTTGAAAGGATTGGGGAAGTACGGTTGGCGCAGTACCGTGCTGTGAGGTCTTGGGGCCTGTGGCTTTTTCCTGTGATAAAGTCCTCTGAACCATATTGTAAGTTATATTCATTTTTGTTAAAAATTTTATTTTTTCCGGTTGTGGGATGCAAAAAAGTACGTTTAAACCTTTTTTCGGCCATGTACACACCCTCATTTACAGGTATTCCCCCAACCAGTGAACCGGGTTCTAAGAGTTGATGAGGGGCCCGTCGTTCAACTAGTGACCAGGTTCTAGCCAATAAGGATGGTTTTTTTTGGGAATCGCAGAGGGTTTTTGGGGTCCGCTCTCCTGTTTGCCCCTTTTCATTCCCCTTTTAGAGCTGGTTGAAGCACGGTCTGCTATCTTGTGGCTTTTATTTGCCTTGCTTACCTGGAGGCACTATATTATCACTGTCTAGTGTACAATTGCTTTTTAAATTGGTGAAAGGGTAATTAACTAAAATTTTTTTGCGTGTTTTTTTTGTTCCCATTTCACCCGGGGTAAAAGGCCCTTTTAATCCGGGTTTTAAAAATTTGGGAGCTGTCCGGAGCTTAGTGGACTTAGAGAAAAGGTTGGCTTAGGGTGAAGCTCGTAGCAGGAACATTGTGAACTTGCGTCTGGCATTGCTTTTCAAATTTTGGTTCGGTTTACCCTTTATTTTGGGGATCTTCCGCTCCCCTTTGCTTGTTCGGTGTGTTCGCTTCGCTACGCAATTTTTAAAAATTACTTCTATTGCTTTTTAAAACCCGGGCATTTTTTTCGGGGGGGAAATTTTGCGCGGCTTTTTTTACAAAATTTGCAAAGTCGTGTTTTAGATACTCTGCTCTCTTATAACACTTCTGTTTATAAGAACCTCGTCGTAAACTAACTTTTTCCTCTCTTTTATCACACCTTTTACTTCATCATTCCGCCAATCACTCCTCTTTCTCCTTGCACACACCCTCCTATAATCACAAACTCTGCCCACATTCTAATCTACACTACGGCATTTTTTAAACTATTCCAACCCTTTTTATCACCCTCCCATCCCTACTCATACTTGCACCAAGCCCACCTCTCTGTCCATAGTTGTTTATATCTCACTCTAACTTCCTCCTTCCATAGATCAAACACTTTCAACTCTCTCACTTGTTGCCATTTTCCTTTCGTCCCATCAAACCCTCTTACCCTAACTATAGCTATAACTAATAATTATCCGATATATCAGTTGCCCCTCTATAAACGTGTACAACCTAAGCCTACCCATTCAACCCTTTTACCACCAATACATAATCTAACAAACTACTTTTCATTACATGCTATAATCAGACCATGTAATTTATTTATCACTCTTTTACATAAAATATTTATTTATTTATTACCAAATTTTCTTTCTACACATAGCTCAATTAAAAGACCTCCCCATTTTTCATTACCTCTAGCCACCACAAATTACCTACTACTACTACTCTACTACTCAACTTTTACTACTAACTTTACGCTTCCCTCCTCAACATTTTTTACTCACTTTAGCATTTGAAATCCCCAACCACAAATACACTCATACTTGGTTCAAAACTCCATACCACTCACTCAATATTTCCAGCTGGACATAGAGAAACGGTTGAGCTTAGGGTGAAGCTCGTAGCAAGTAACATAGTGCAGCTTGCTTGTCTGCTTGCTTAACAAATTTTTGCCGTGCCAGTTTACTGTTATGGTCAGCACGCTACTACTTGTTTTCGGTGGTGTTCGCTTCGCTCACGGGCAATCTCTAAGAACAGTGTAGCAGTCAGGCATTCGATGTTTACAAATTTTGCGTGTCAGTTGTTACTAGCCCTGTTCGTTGTGGAGAATTTTTCCAGTCGGCTTTGCTTGTAATGCTATTTCTGCAAACGTACTGTGCATAGCTAATGCGGTTCTGCAATTAACGTGGTAACGTTGGGGTATTCTGCAATCGTACTTGGCCATAGCGCATAACTTATGCCACCTAGACGAGTCAGACTCCCTGGTGCGGGCATATACTTGCATAACCTACCTAAATTGTCCCTACAGCGTCTGTTGGCAAATTGCTCGTTCCATGGCAATTAAATCCAAACGCACTCTCACACTGCGCAACTGCGTTTCACGATTGCTGACAAACTTATAGAAGAAGAGATGGCACGATCAGAATCTCCTCCTCTACGGGAATCAAGGGCAAAAACTCTTAATGTTCTCGCAGGAGGAAGCTTGATACACCTACGGAGCAAAATGGTCAGTATCCGTGCAGCTGGGTTGTCTCAAGGTAATCAGCGTCCGTTGTCACTTGACTGGCATAAACCAATCATGAGCAAACTAGGAACAGAGCAATAGCAAGGGAAGAATATGATAGGGAAAAGAAAGAGGTCAGTTTTCGCATTCTGTAAAGAATATTAGTTTACAAAACAGTACAAGCTTGTTCCCCGCTTCAAAAGATAATGAGAGACCGAACCAGAGCAAATTTTCGAAAGCATCGAAAATCAGGCTCGAGCTTGAGGTGGCCGGAACAGCACTGGGCATCATGGTTTCATACAGCATCGTATTGGGTAAGGCCCAGGAATTTACGTCAGTATAAAATGTACGCGAATTTTCTGATTAACAAGTAGTGAAGACCACAGTGTTGGGAAAAAAAGCATATACATGAATCCCAGCCAAATATCGAAAAAAATTAAATCAAACAGGCGCAGCTTGGTCTAATCCCTAGTGGACTTTGTGAGACAGCAGAACCAAAGCTTTTTACCAGCTGGTATAAAGCAAGTTGGAGTCTCTAATACCTATGGAGGAGCTGGTACCAGTTCTTATTCTGATTGATAAACCTGCCTGATTCTGTGGACCAGAGGTGTCGACTTTCTGCAGGGATCGTGGTCTTAACCACTGCATGGAGGCAGCCATGGTTGGCTGATACCTTCGCAACTAACCGCTCCTTGTCCGAGCGGCACCCGTCTCTCTTTTCAACAGCCTGTCATGAGCAGAGATCGTCAACCTTGGAGAAATGAAGTGCCAGCCGGAGGAGAAACGTCCATAACGTCAGCCAACTAAGAAGTCACCTGGTGAGGCCACGCTCTCAACATATTGGTCCGCACCTCGGAAGAAGGCAAACTACTCATGGTGGCATCTCGACAACAGCATCCGAGAGACTCCGAGCCAGAACGACACCATTTGCAACTCACAGGGAGTAAAGGGCAAGCCTGTCGTCTGCTTCTTCTGCCACAAGGTAGGTCACATCCGTCACAACTGCCCCCATCAACCCCAACCCATTGGAAAATTCTCTAATATCCCTAGTTAACATGTCCCCTAGAGAAAATAGAAAAAGTATGGCCCTTATTATTGCAAGTCTTAATTACCTTCAGAAAACTCTAAACAACTAAATGTAAAGACCTTTAGAGATACTGGAGCATATTGCTCACTTGTAATAGAAGGAATTTACCCCTTTCAGAGAATCTCCTTGAATTCCTCTGTTGTATTGGAAGCATTTGGATGAGCTAATATTCTGTTCCTTTGCATAAAATTTATGTACAGTGCAAATATGTAACCTGGTACTTGACGTAGGTGCCAAAAGGATTTTCCCAATGAAATGATTGCCATGTATTACTGGAAATAACATTACTACTACTACAGTTAGGTTCGTGTCCTGAAACCTATATGATTTAATCGTCTTCGGTGTTGGCCCATAACTCGGCAACATCCCAGGGTTGTCTGGAGGGAATGTATTGACCTATCCTTGGACGACTTCCGATCTCGGAATACCCACGTTGTTTTATAAAGAGGCACACCGGCCGAGCCTCGGTAAATAAGTGACAGACCCGATCAGCTTCCTAGCCCAGGTTGCAGTGATTTGCCAGATGTCCTTTTTCCATGCCCGAGGGACTGTCCTTCCGGGAGGAACATCGAAAGGACCCTTCTTTAAAATTCGTTTTCCAGGCAGCCATGGTAAATCCTCTTTAGGTCATCCGTCAATATGAAGTTAAAAATGATTATTTGGTCTGCACTGAGACTGGGTAAGGAACAGAGGGCCGGCAATTGTATGACAGGTTAGTGTTCCAACCAAGTTTAGACTCGCAAATTAAATATACACATAATACGTCATTTAGAGTCACTAAGGATACATATACCTTGTATAGAAATCGCAAAAGAATTGATTGGCCAAAATTAAAGAAAGACGTGAAGAATCCTATTAGGTGTTGCCGAGAATGTCAGCAAGTAGGGAAACCTGGACATTCCATTTAACCTCTGCACCTCTCCAACCTATACCCTGCTGATGGAGAACCTTTTGCAGATTTAATTATAGATAGTGTAGGTCCACTACCTAGGTCAAAGTCTGGAAATCAAATATTTTATTTACCGATTATGGATAAATAACAATATCCTAAGCAATTCCCCATGCGTTAGTATTAAAACTGAAGCTATCTCAAAGCTTTAAACTAAATTCAATTTCATGTTTTTGGCATTCCTAAAACTATTCAAAGTGATCAAGGTACTAACTTTACTGCCAAAGCATTTTAGGGAAGTATTAACTAGGTAGGATAAATCCACAACTTAATCCTCTTCCTATCATCCTCAATCCCAAGGCGCCTTGAAAGATTCCATCAACATGAAAAAACAATGATTGATAACTTTTTGTCATGCACTTTCCTACAAACTGGGATGAATCACTACCCATTTGTATGCTGTACTCATTACGAGAGACGGTGCAAGAGTCTACAGGGTAAAAGACCGTTTGAGCTGATCTTTGGGCACAATGTAACGAGCCTCTTCGGTGCCTCAAAGAAAGGATGGATGGAGAAGACGTTAGCTCAACACTCTACAACCCGTCTTTAAGGTTGCAGGTGGCACTCAGTTAGACCAAGGCTAACCTAAAACAGCTCAAAGTAAGATGAAACAGAGGTATGACAGAATTGCACAAATCCGCCCTTTGCCATCCAGAGACAAGTTATGGTTAGACCTATACCTGGCACACCTTGACAGCTAGATTTACGGGACCTAATGCAATTGTAAGTAATTATCTGATGTAAATTATTTGGTAGCTCCATTGATAAGACCTCAAAAAACAAAACATTCCACCATTAATCAATTAGTCTTTCATACACCTGATAAAGTCCCGTAATGACGTCTGTCCTCTACCTCAGAGGACGACACTGATTCCTTTGCACTCTATCTCTGAGATATATTCAAACTTTCAATTCTGCCCTCCTCAAGGATCCAGCCTTTTAATGGATGGGACTTATCTGAAAACCAAGCAACAAATTTAAACGGAGCTTCTACAGTCATATCCTAATATTTTTTCGGATGTGCCGAAAAGAGGAGGGGGTACGTTTTTTAGGTTTATCATGGATGAGGAGATGTGGAAGGAGACTCAAAACCAATTAAACGCTCCCCCTACAGAGCTAATCCGAAAAGCAAAGGCTACTTCAGCAGTAAGTAGAATTTTAGTTAAAGCATTGGTTTTTAGTGGAGGAGCAACCTAGTCCATGGGCATCACCTGCATCCTTTGAAGATGGCTGATGGAGGTTTCGTATGTGTACAGACTACCGAAAGGTAGAACGAGTCACAATTACAGAATGCTTACCCTCTTTCCTCGACTGGATGACGTAATTGACTTTTGTGGGTAAAGGCTACTTTTGAGTCAAAGTTAGATCTTTCTCCTTAAAGGCTACTATCAATACCTTATGCCGGATACGGCAACGAAATCCTGCCATCGAAATAATTCCAGGAGAGGGTCAATAATCAATAACCGTTCCCCGCCGTTTCCCAACTTACCTAGCCAACCCCCCTTCGGTAATGAAAGAAATACCCCTCCCCTTAATTAATTTACATCCCCCCCTCTATCATATTCCAGAAACTTATCTCCAACAGCCGTTTATTATCCATCAGGCTATTAAAGGTCATTGACAGAGGTCAAAAAACACGAACGAACGCTGAACGGCAAAAAAACACCCTAAAAAGCGTTAACCTTAAAGCTATAGATTTGATGATTCTGATGCTATGTTGGCACATCCACCCTCTCATTCGACTTACACAGCTCTTTTTATAAGCTGACCTTTACGCGTTTTTCTATTAGGAGTACCATTTATAAACAGTAAAAAAAATACTCAAGAATCCATTCCATTTTTGGGGCCCAGGTTGTTTTTTTTGAAACTCTAAATTAATAAAAAAACTTTATCCTAATCTAAATCATCCTTTACCCGGTTTAATTTTTGTTTTGTTTTATCATAATCAATCCTTCAAAACTACTAAAAAAAAAAAAATCACAACAAATCTAAAAAATCATTTCTCGATCACTGCGTCATTACTTATTAATCTAAAAACTATCCTGGTATCCTTTTAATATCTAAAAAAATTATGCTAAAATATTTCTAAAATAACGAAATCTTCTAAAATCTAAAACTCTTCATAACCTTTTCTTAAAAAACATTCAAATCCCATATATATAACAAAAACTCCGCAAGTTAATAATAAATCAATATATCATATTCTAACAAAATACTTCATCTTTCATTCAAGAAATCTCTTTACTCAATTCCATTATTGGGCCAGGCCACAGACCCCTAATATGAGATTTGTCTACAAAAAAAATCTAAAATCCTAAAATAAAAAATATATATAAATTAAATCAATCTATTCTCTCAATCATTCCATCACTACCCTTTTGGGATAATGTGGCCACCAACCGTACCCACAAACCACACACAACCACACCACCCACCAAAACACACAACACCCCCACACTAAACCTATATTAATCAATATTAAATCTAATCACCACACAACACAACAAATCACAACACGACCCCCCCACAACAAAATACCAAAGAATAAAGTAAAAAAAACACACACAATTCACACAAACAACATATCTACCCCACAGCCTCCCACAACCCCCCCCACCATCTCACCCCCACCAAACCAACACAACCCCACCAACTAAACCAATACTTACCTTATGTGTCCCAGATTTTGAGATGTTCTAAATACCAACTCTCCCCCCCCACTCAAACCCCCCCTCTGCCCACAACAGCCCCCCCCACTCCCAAAACACACCCATGCACAAAGACAACATCACCCCACATCCAAAGAAGGCCCTTCTGCCCCCCCACCCACCCCACCACCCACCCCCCCACACCCAATCATACCACCTCCTAAACCAAAAAATTAAAAATACTCACCATAACATAAAAACTCAACCGCTCCCAAATATACACAACTCCACAGCACAAACCCACCCAACCACCACCCAAACCCCCACGTCCCGCCCGTCATTGGCCAGTGCCCAATGCCGCATATGCCCGGGCAAAACCACCCCCCTGAGATTGTATATGTAAATGGGTTGTGTATTTTAGAAAAAACCAACTCTAACCACTAACCAATCATACCCACAACATTTAGCATTTTTACCCCAACCACCAACACCCCACCCCAAACAAAATCTCACACTTTCCCACCAAAATGGCTCTTCTTTCCTTTGTCTTTTATTGTGCCACAGGCCCTATTTACAATCACACTAACAAAAACTAATCCCGACTTTTTTTTTTAAACTAATTACCACAGAAGGAAGCCTTTTTTTTGTGGCTAATCCTTAAAAAAATCTAAAACTTTCTTTTAAAATCTCTTCTAAATCTCCCTTATCTATCGCTAAAAAGAATCTTTCTTTTAAAAATCTTTCTAAAATCCTATCTAAATCTTCACTAGAAACCCTTTCCTTTATCACTTCCTTTGGCCCATGCCACACTACCTAACCCTCCACTTTTCTCTTTCTTCCTACTCACTTTATTTCCTAGGTGTTTCTTTTTTCTCTTATTCTATTTTTTGTTTCTTTTCTTTTTTTTTTTTCTTTCTTCACTTTTTATCAATATCCCCCCTCACTAACTACAAACCCACTAATCGAACACTAAAGC